ACAATACAGCTACAATGGCCATATTAATTTTTTGACAAAGTAGATTTCAGGGCAAGGAAGAGTTCCAGAGATAAAGGAGATCACTACACAGTGATCAAAAAGGTCGGTTCCTCAACTGACGTAACAATACTTAATGCAGTGCATGCAAATAACAAAAGCATATAAAATGTATCAGAAAAAAAACTAGCAATGCTGCAGTAGAAATAAACAAATCCACTTTTATCAGTAGGTTAAGGAGACAAAAAATCAGTAAGCGTATGCTTGAAGTAAATAGCAACTGCCAATCAAGAATGATCAAACTGACATAATATGGACTTTGTCATCCACAACAGCACCACGTGCATTCTTCAAAAGTTCACAGAAGACATTCTCCAAGATAGAGTATATTTAGTCTAAAGATTACAACTCAAAAAATTTAAAACAATAGAAATCATACAAAATATCTTCCCAGAATACAATGTAACTAGAAATCAGTAACAGAAAGATAGTTGAAACATCCCTCAAGTGTTTGAAAATTCAACAACACATTTTAAATAATTTAAGAAAAAAATTGAACCAAAAGAAAATTGGTTTACCAAATTTTCTGAGATGTAGTAAGAGCAGTTCCTATAGATTTATGGTGTTGAATGAATACATTAGACAAGCATCATTTAAAATGAATGATAACATGCACTTCTACTTAAGAAACTGATGAAGAACAATATAAAGACTAAGAAAACCCAACAAAAGAAATAAACACTAGAGCATAAAGGAATAATGTTGAAAATGAGGACACAATAGTTACAATCACCCAGTGAAATGGAAAACTCTGGCAATGTTAACTAAGAAAAAATTTACTTATACCAGAAATTAAGTAGAAACTAATGTTGACTCCATGGAGATTAAAATGAAAAAAAAAAAAAAAAAAGGAATACAAGTCCATGTTTACAAGTTTGTTAACTGTGTTATTAGACCAATTCCTTGAATCAGGTTAATTATCAAAGTCTCATAGAAGGAGAAATGCATAACTTGAATATCATTGCATATATTAAAAAGACAGACTTAATGATTTAAAACTGCTTTTAAAAAGTAATGTACCAGTTCCAGAAAGTGTTACTGATAAATTCTATCAAACACTTAAGGATGAAATATCATTTCCCTAAAATATCTTTCAGAAAATTGGTGAGAGAACATGGTCTGTCAGGTTAGTATGATACCATTTGATGATGATGAAGTCTTTAGTATCATCCAACACCAATTAATGATAAAAACCTTCAGCCCCTCCTCCAAAAAAAAGACAGAGAGAGACTTCTCCAACTTGCAAAAAAAATTCTATCAAAACACTCAGCTACTTAATGGTAAAAGTGTGGGTGCTTTCTCCCTAAAGTAAGGGACAAAGCATTGCTCTTTCATCACTTTTACTCAATATTATAGAAGAAGTCCACACCCTATGACAGGAAAAACAAATAAAAGGTAAGCCTATTAAGAAGGAAGAAATAAAAACTGTCTTTATCCACAAAAGTCATAATCGTTTATGTAGGGAGGCCCCAAAAAATGTTACCAGAAAACCAAAAACAAGGACTGGACCCAAACTCACAAGAGTAAAGGTTGATGTAAAACAGTCAGCTGCTGTCCACACACTCTTCACTTAGTGGTCTATGTTTGATACTTTACTTCACCAGAGGCTTAACTTGACACCCCAATCTATCCTTCCCCAGTAAAAGGAGGGTAGCAAGCCTCAGTGGTGCAGCTAGGTTTTTCTTTTTTTTTTATATGACAGGTAGAGTTATAGACAATGAGAGAGAGACACAGAGAGAAAGGTCTTCCTTCCACTGGGTTCACTCCCCAAATGGCCACCATGGCCAGCACTGCGCCAAACTGAAGCCAGGAGTCAGGTGCTTCTTCCTGGTCTCCCATGCGAGTGCAGGGCCCAAGCACTTGGGCCATCCTCCACTGCCCTCCTGGGCCACAGCAGAGAGCTGGACTGGAAGAGGAGCAGCAGGGACTAGAACCCGGCGCCCATATGGGATGCCAGCACCGCAAGGCAGAAGATTAACCAAGTGAGCCTGGCGCCGGCCTCTACAGCTAACTTTTTTTTTTTTTTTTCTGACAGGCAGAGTGGACAGTGAGAGAGAGAGACAGAAAGACAGAGAGAAAGGTCTTCCTTTTCTGTTGGTTCACCCCCCAGTGGCCGCTGTGCCCGGCGCAGAGAGCTGGACTAGGAGAGGAGCAACCAGGACAGAATCTGGCGCTCCGACTGGGACTAGAACCCGGTGTGCCGGCACCGCAGGCAGAGGATTAGCCTGGTGAGCCACGGCGCTAGCCTCATAACTAGCTTTTAATCAACTTCATGACCCCTTTATTATTATTATTATTATTATTATTTGACAGGCAGAGTGGACAGTGAGAGAGAGAGACAGGGAGAAAGGTCTTCCTTTGCTGTTGGTTCACCCTCCAATGGCTGCCGCGGCCGGTGTACTGCGGCCGGCACACCGCGCTGATCCGATGGCAGGAGCCAGGTACTTCTCCTGGTCTTCCATGGGGTGCAGGGCCCAAGTACTTGGGCCATCCTCCACTGCACTCCCTGGCCACAACAGAGAGCTGGCCTGGAAGAGGGGCAACCGGGACAGAATCTGGCGCCCCGACCGGGACTAGAACCCGGTGTGCCGGCGCCGCAAGGCGGAGGATTAGCCTAGTGAGCTGCGGAGCCGGCCTCATGACCCCATTTCTACAATGACAGAGTGTGGAGGGTATTCTCTAACCCTGTTGGAAGAGTGGGCATTTAGTATAACCATAAAAGCACCCGTTGTGATGCCCATATCCCATATCAGAGTGCCCAATTTTAAGCCCAGGCTGTGCTTCCCACTTCAGCTTGCTGCTAACACACACCTTGGAAGGCAAACAGTGACAGCTCAAATACTGGAGTCCTTGCGACCCACAAAGGAGACCCAGATTAAGTTCCAGGCTTCCAGGTTTCAGCCTGGCCCAGTCCTGACTGTTTTGTATATTTGGGAGAAAAACAAAAACAAAAACAAAAACAAAAACAAAAACACATGTAGTTGGGATGTCTCTGTCAATCTCTGCCTGTCTCTCTTTCAAGTAAGTTTTAAAAATTAAAATAAAGGCAAATTACATCAATTCATAACTTACTTGTTGACTTTGCAACAAGCTCAAGGACAGCAAGGTGATTCTGAGGGAAGAACACAGAACTGAAAGATTAGAGACCTAGACTGAGACTCATCCCGGTTATAATCTCACACTTCCATTTAGCTCACTCAACCATAAAGCTTACTCAATCCTATAAAACAGGACTGTAAGATCAAATTGAAGAATACACACCTCTACTAATGTGTTGTGTATAGGTACACAACAAGCCAAAGAAATTATGATAATGAGTGGTTTTTACTCATTATAGGGATTTTTATTCTTATGCTACCTCAGTTACTATGGTGACCTTCACATTTTGCTTTGAATACATATCATCATGAAAGGGTACAACAATAAGCTAATAGCTATTTATTGCTCAGCCTGCTATCCACACAGACTTTTCAGGTTATTTTAGCTGATGCTATGGAAGGCACTATAGACCTCTCACACTCTGACACCAACCCTTTCCTTTGTTTAATATTTTTCCCTTATCATCCTTCCAAATATTTTCCTGGTTATTGTCTCCCCCCAAGCAGACTATATATTCCAGAAACAGTGGTTTCGTTTCCTTCTTTTTTGAATAAGCTAGGATAGTGTGGTGCAATAAGGCACATGCTTGGTGAAGAGCTACTTATATAAGAGAACATGCAAATGCATTCCCCTTAGAGATAGGAGAAAAATGACATTCTCAAAAGCACACTACAACACTACAATATACCATTTATTTATTTATTTATTTATTTTTTGGATTCCGCAGTACAAGCTTTCACATGACATGTTTCAATGACAACAAAGAATATCAATCAAGACCTTTCACACTACATCTGCCAAGGATTAGCAACCTGGATGATTAAAAAGTAGGGGATTCCAGGACCAATATAACAGACAGATCGACTGTTAGAAAAGATCCTCAAAATAAAATTTGTTCACATCTAAGAAATGGAATTTCATTCAGTTTCAGAATTCATTAACAATAGGTAGAGTCACAAATCAAAACCCACCTTTTGCACTGGCCAAGGTCTTGTCTTGGGAATGGGGCTGCTGGCCCCATACTGTCATCTTACACCCAGGGGACTGCAGGTGAGGAGTGCTGGGTTATTGTCAGGTAGCAGGAGGGCCATTGTAAGATTAGAGGAGGAGAGTGAGATTTACATCTACTGAGTGTTGTGTCAACAGCAAATGTGCAGGAGTTACAATGTCACCGTCTGATCCAACTTACACCTAACTAGAACATCCTGTAACAATTTTCTTCCTCCTAAGTGATGGTAGACTCTGTTGGCCTAAAGCTGAAACTTGAGATCCTGGAGACAAAATGGAACACACCAGCCTGATAGAATCTATTACCAGGCAACAAAGACACTAATAAGCTCTTCATTTAAATGAGAAATCTAGAAAAGAATGTTAATAAGGAATGGATTTTTGCATAATTAGATTTACATATACCTTCTAATTTCTAGCAAAGGGAAAGCTAATCTGGGAGGCTAAAATTTAATGAGATTAGTTTGAGGGACAGGGGTTGAGTAGCCTAAGTGATAGCCATCATTGATACTGGAAATCTTCTCCTGTGACATCAGTAGGAAAAAGAGTTGAGTGGAAGAATGATCAGATGTTCAAAGAAAAGCCAAAACAAATCCTACCTTGATAAAAGGACAAATAGGTGCTAAGTTACCTTCATAGCTTCCTTATCCTGTTGAATTGTCCTGTCGATAAATGCACATTTTAATGCTTAACACAATCTGCTTAATAAAACCCAAAAGAACTTTATACCCTGGAAACAGGGAATTCTCAGCTGTGATTTCATTTCAATTCATAGCATAAAAAGTGGGGGAAAGGGCCTTCTCGAATGCTTGCTTTCATTTATATCTTCTCCTATGTTCCTTAGTTTTCAACACAGAGTGTTAGAAATACAAACAGTGGTTTATGAATTCCATAGGATGAGTTCTTCCAGTAATAGATTTACCACCGTAAAGTTCTCTCATTTCTTTTCTGCACAGGAACTCTGAGAGCAAGGAAAATTGCTCCACTCTAACAGCGATTCATTTCATTGTATGCTTCTGCCAGCATGACCCTAATGAGAAGAAGTCCAGACTTCAGTTTTGGTTTAGAATTCAGTGACAGTTTGATTGTGGGCTCAACCTTTTCTACTGCTTTTGGAAGGAGAATTGCATGCTGAATTAATGAGCGAGAAGAACAGAGCCTTGAGCCTCTTCCGTGTGTTTCTAGTTCTCTTCATTTTAATTGGCATATTCTATTTCTGTATCTTGATCCAAATTAATTTACAAATGATCTTTTTTGCAGAGTAGGATCCTTTAAAGGAACAATAGACATGGAAAACACTGGGAATCAGTGTCACCCAGGACTTCATTGATTTGTTCAGGTATGTCTTTTACCAACGCTTACTAACACAATCCTTCTTCTTCTTCTTTTTTTTTTTTTTTTATCCTGTCTTTAAATTCTGTCATACTTTCTCAATGCTTATTACTCATCTTTGGCCTCTCAATAAACACAGTGAACACTTTCTAGTTCTCGCTACAAGCTAATGCTATTTATACGTTAGAAATGCCAGATTCCTTCACAAGCCACTTGAGACCCAGTGGCAAGAATGAATTACCCTGAACTGTCTGTCTCTCTACTGACAGGTCTGCCTGAAAAGCAGCTTGCCTGGGGCTGAAGTCATTGTTATTTCACTATCTAAGAGCCAGCAAGAGACAGTTTTACAAATTTCTAACATAAGGTATAAAGTAAAATTCAGCAGAAACGGGTTTTTCCTCTCTTTTGAATTCCTAGCTTTGACCAAATTAGTAGGGAATGACATATTTTGAATTGCTTAGTGTACACACTCTTGTATTTCTCTGAAATTTAATCTTACAATCATTGCTCTAGGGAGAACTACATTAAAGTTTATTGGCAAACACATTTCTCCTGATTTCCTTTTGTCCAAAAAGAAAACGGTGAATTAAGATTTAGCACACATATTAGCTTTTAGTATTTGGTGTCGTTTTTTACCTTGCATGCTCAAATGGCTATCTGTACCCTGTAGCAACCAATTATAACACATGTGCTGATATTGTACAATTTTAAATTAGTGGAATGGTTGAGCTGACAGCTTAAAGCAGAAAAAAAGGTTATTTTCTAGATTAATGAAATAGGATGAAATTTGAAATGACTATTAATGTAATCAAATTAATTTTTATCAAGTAATATGGTATCCATGTTCTTTTGTTTATCCTAGGAATAGATCTATCATATCCTGGTTATTTCAATAATAATTACACAACTCACATGAGTATAATTCAAGACCATAAATGCAGCATTTCTTCATAATTTCTCTATGTCTTGGTTAAGTCAAAGGTAAACAACTACACATTTGAGATGCTCAAAGTTACCCACACTCCCTGGGGAGTGCCAAAAATAAATAGAATTTCCCAAACATTAGCTCTCAAAAACCTAAATTTACTTAACAAGTTCATGTTTAGGAAGACAGAATTTCCCACCCCAGTTGTAACATTTGAATGTAGAGAAATTGCAAATCTTGCCTTAATTTGGATTCGTAAAATGATCTCTTCTCAGAATGCTATCTCAGAATGCTTCTCAGAATGCTACAATTAGTAATGGTAAAAATAAAATCATATGGGGCTGGTACTGTGGCACAGTGGGATAAAGCCCGATCTGCAGAGCCAGAATCCCATATGGACGCTGGTTCTAGTCTCGGCTTCTCCTCTTCCAATCCAGCTCTCTGCTATGGCCTGGGAAAGCAATAGATGGCCCAAGTCCTTGAGCCCATGCACCTATGTGGAAGACCTAGAAGAAGCTCCTGGCTCCTGGCTTTGGATCAACACAGCTCTGGCTGTTGCAGCCATTTGGGAAATGAACCAGTGGATGGAAGACCTCTCTATCTCTCTCAACTTTGGCTTTCAAATAAATAAAAATAAATCTTTAAAAAATAAATAAAATAAAACAATATCAATAATAACTAGTATTTACTTGGTAGATTTTCTTTTATATTATCTTATTTAATTCTTCACAACCACATGAGTTTTGTGGGTCTATTTTAGAGGCAAAAGACATACATATCTATGAGATTTCCAGAAAAGTGACATTACTTACCACAGAGCAGGTAAACAGTGAATCTGTGATTCAAATTTAGACATCCTTAGCTTGGAGCCTGAAGTCTTGGATATAAAGTATGTTCTTTGATCTTCAGTATCACAACAATAAAAAACAATTTCATAGATTTGCTTATATGTTCATTTTAAGTACTCAGTGTAACAGGTTTTTTTAATACATACTGGTAACCTAGCACCCCAACCCCATCCTCCTGAGTCAAACTTATCTTCCACTAAATCAACTCCTGTTAATTTCATTGTAAAATTTTCTCCAGTACATTCATTTCTCTTGCTCTCTACCATTAAAACCAAGTTCAGTCTATAAAGATTTCTCACTGACTTCTTAAAACGAAATGCTTTCTAAGAAGTCTCCCCAGAGTTGCTCAACAGGAGTCCCATCTCTCACTCTGGACTCTGCAATCAAGTCCTCTTTTCCAAACACAAATTTGACATTCAAATACCTGCTTACAAAACCTCTTTTGGATAAGCACCAAAATATTCACAAGGGTGTTAGAGGTCTTGTGTAATCTTCCCACTGAGAACCCACAGCCCTCTTTCATGCCAGACTAAAGCTTTCCTCTTATCCAGTAAGACACAGGTTGTTCTAACCACAAGCAAGTTCCTGGCTACTCCAGCCACGTGATGGGCTCTTGTTTGCCCTCTGCCATGAATAAGTACACCCACCCTTCAGATCTTAGTGAAACTGTTATGAAAGAAACACAACTAAACAAAAACTGTTATCTGACCTTTGTGAATGGAGTCTTCTCGGTATTCCTGGTCAGATTGGTTGTAGGAGACACTACTGACACATGCAACTACTAAAATCCACCAATATCCATGTCCTTCAAACAAAGAAGCATGTATTTGCATACAGGCTATACCTACCTCCCTGTGTATTAGCCAACAACTTACTTGATGGAGATGGTATTGTGGAGTAGTGGGTAAACCCCCGCAGACATCCCATATGGGCATGGGTTCATGTCTGTATCCTGGCTACTCCACTTCAGATCCAGATTCCTATTGATAGACTGGGAAATTCAGTGGAAGATGGCCCAAGTGCTTGGGCCCCTGCCACCCATGTGGCAAACCTGGGTGAAGCTCCTGGCTCCTGACTTCAGCCTGGCTCAGCCCCGGCCATTGCAGCAATCTGGGTCAATACACAGCAGATAGCTGGCTCTCCCTCTCTCTCATCTGACTTTCAAATAAAATAAATACATCTTTTAAAAAATATTTAGGAGGAGCTTCTTTGGTAAAGAAAATATTTATTTCAGCTTACAGTTGAAGTTACCTTATCAGGCAGGCCGGATGTGAACACCTGATGGAGGCTGGGCATGGCAGGTGCAGAGGCACATTAACAACATAAGCCAGGAAAGAAAGAGAATGAGAACCTAGGCCAAATTTGAACTGAAAAGATAAAACTTCTCTGGAGAAGCACCCACCCCCAGTGGATGCTCCAATGATCTTCCACTGTCTCCACCTCTCAGAGGCCATTACTTGATCAAATCTCCATTCTTAATCATAACAATATTCCACATTAAGATATCAGAGCTGAAACAATTGTGATAGTTTTGGGGAGACAAATCTTACCTAAGCTATAACATCCTGTATGCCTTAATTTATACATTTTATTTATTTGAAATGCAAAAAGAGATAGAGAGACAAGGATTTCCCATCTACTGTTCCACTCCCCAAATGACTCAACAGCCAGTTCCAGGCCAGGTGTGAGACAGGAGCCAGGAGTTTAATGTGGGTCTCCCAGGTGATGGTCAGGGAGCTGAGTATTTAAGCCATCACCTCCTGCTTCCCAGGGTGCTCATTGGTGCGAAGCTGGGATTTGGAATTGAGAATAGAGCCAGGGTTCACACATAGGCACTCCAATATGAGAGGCAGGTGTCTCAAACTGCTTAACTGCTGTGCCCTTAACTGCCCTCCCACTGTATCCTTTAAATCATCTCTAAACGGCTCATAATATCTAATACAATAGTCATCAGTATCTAATGCAACAACACTGTGTTGTTTAGGGAAGAATGGACTTTAAAAATTTGCACAAATTCTCTGATTGCATTTTTTAAAAAAATTTATTTAAGTTATACATGCATGCCATGTATGTAGATTTAGGAGCATGGTGATGCTTCTTACTCTCCCTCCCACCCATGCTCCAAATCTTCCTCCTCCCTCTCCCATTCCCACTCTTTTTATTTTTACAAAGATCTACTTCCAGTTTGCTTTCTAATCTTAAGGTTAACCCTACATTAAGTAAAGAGTTCAATGAATACTATGAAAAAAAGAAAGGAAAAGAAAAAAAAAAAAAACACCATTCCTCAACAGAAGAGATGAGGGCTATAAACAATCATCTAATCTGAAAATGTCAATTTTTTTTTACCAGTATTTCATATCTTTGATTGTTTGAATCTGTAGATATCTCCCAGTTGATACGGATAGCAGACTGGTACTTCAAAATCCCCACAACTTACATGCTCAGATAACTCTACTTCTCTCTTATTAGCACTTTTCACAGCTATGTACCTATGTAAAATCTCCTCTTCAACCATGTACTCTATGAGGAAATTGCCCCCAACTTTGTGACTCCCAGGTCCAATGCTCATCCTGTCCATGATGGGCCCAGGAGAAGTATTTTTTGAATGAGTGAACACTACTGGGAAGCAACTAGTAGTGTTTTAAACCTTTTGACTTTCTGATTATGGACTAGTTAGAAGTTCTGATAAGACTAATAGTGACAACAAAAGATCAAATCCATATATTTTCTTCTACTTACAGCTTTAATTAAATCACAAAAGTTCTGTACAATGTGGTTATAATTCAAGTTATTTATGCATTGAATAATTGCTTTATTAACTTACAAATTAGTTATAAATGCTTTTCTTAAATTTTAAACATACAATACAGAGAAATTTTATTTTTTATTTTTATTATGGATATTTCAATAACTGTGGTTATGTATTTTCTTTCTATTTTTCCTTAAAACTGGTCAATGTAAATAAGTTGACCTATTTGTAAAGTACTGATGTTTCTCTTGTCATATCCAATCTGCTGTTAAATTCATCCCATGACTTATTTTTTTATTTGTTTTTTTTTTGCCTGCAGATATCAATTGTTTAATTTTATAATTCTTATATATATAAATTCTTTGATTTATTCTTATCAGTTCTCGGCAAGTCACGTTATTATTTAATATTGCATGCTTAAATTGTTTTAACAAGATTAAACAATGGACTGAAACTTTCACTATGTTAATGCATATTTGTTATTTCTTTAAATAGTCAAGGTAGTGAAAAATTAAAAGTAATATAAATTTCTCAATTTGAACATCTCTGTGAAGTCAGGTTACTTAATTGGAGAATTTTGCTTCTGTTTGTATGTAATAATTGACATTAAAATTCAATTTTAGCAAAGAGATTGAAAATCTCTTAAAAGAAAATTCCATTTTAAAGCATCATATTTATAAGAATCCTGCAAATGAGTAAGAAAAAAATCTATGGTACTCTGTAATAACCTGTGAAGATGTTTATTTATTCTCCTTTATTTAAAAGCATTCAGTTGTCTTATAGAAAAGATAGCAAGAAATTTAATAAAATATCCAAAGTAGGAAAATATTAAAAAATTAAGGAAAGTTACAAATTAAAGCATAATGAAAAGCATTCACCAGTTTGCAAATATATTCCATGAGAAGCTACCCCTGCAGCTGCAGCACACACAGAGGCACATCCACATGTGCTACTGCACTTCACAAAGTTCACGGGAAATGGCAGTAAAAGATACACGTGTTTGGTGAGATTTCTGGCTGAGGAGCCCATGAGGGTATTTTAGGCATGGAAAGCCAAGACACTCTGGAAAAAAAAAAAGAAAAGGACCTAAATGAAAGATCTCTGCGAGTGAGATCCCAGTGGAAAGAACGTGGCCATCAAAGAAGGAGGTACCTTTCTCTGAAGGGAGGAGAGAACTTCCACTTTGACTATGGCCTTGTCGAAATAGGATCAAAGACGGCGAGCTCAGGGGGCTTCCATGGCCTTGGCAACTCATGACTAGAGCCTGGAAAGATTGCTGACGCCTTAAACAAGAGTGTCAATTTGTTAAGTCAATAACAGGAGTCACTGTGCACTTACTCCCCACGTAGGATCTCTGTCCTCAATGTGTAGTTCAATGTGAATTAATGATATGACTAGTGCTCAAATAGTATTTGGCACTTTGTGTTCTGTGTGGGTGCAAACTGATGAAATCTTTACTTAATATATACTAAACTGATCTTCTGTATATAAAGATAATTGAAAATGAATCTTGATGTGGAGAGGGAGCGGGAGATCGGAGGGTTGTGGGTGGGAGGGAAGTTATGGGGGGGGGGGAGCCATTGTAATCCACAAACTGTACTTTGGAAATTTACATCTACTAAACAAAAGTTTTAAAAAATTGATGCATAGCTTTTTTCACAATATTCAGTTTACATTAACTTTTTGAAGACCCCTCATATGCATGGATTTCAAAAATATTTTGCTCCAGGGGCTGATGATGTGATGTGGTGGGCTAAGACCAGGTTTGCAATCCTGGCATCCCATATGGGCACTGGTTTGAGTCCTGGCTGCTCCTCTTCCAATCCAGCTCTCTGCTATGGCTTGGGAAAATAGTACAAGATGGCTCAAATCCCTGGGCCCCTGCACCCACATGGGAGGCCCAGAGGAAGCTCTTGGCTCCTGGCTTCGGATTGGATCTGCTCAGCTCTGGTTTTTGTAGCCATTTGGGGAGTGAACCAGTGGATGGAAGAACTTCTGCTCTCTGTGTATACCTCTATCTATTAAATTAAAAAAAATAAAATCTGTAAAAAATATTTTGCTCCATTTCTTAGAGAAACACTAAAATC